TCAGTAGCCCAAAACTATAAAAAGGTACTTGGCTCCAATCTATAATGATAGACTTAGTACTTCCAAAAAATGTGCTGAGAAAGTTTTTATTCCCAGTAAAAACACAAATATTTAAGAATTCTTACCCTATTTCTAGTTGGTATTTACATTTGAAAAGTATTCTAATATTTTGTGACATTATATTTTCCAGGTTGAACCCATAAGACACAAATAGTAATGTGCTCATGACATAAGAATTATTCATGGCTGAAACCGGTTTGGCTCAGTGGATAGAGCGTTGGCCTACGGACTGGAAGGTCCAGGGTTCGATTCCAGTCAAGGGCATGTACCTTGGTTGTGGGCACATCCCCAGTAGGGGGTGTGCAGGAGGCACCTGTTCAATGTTTCCCTCTCATATATGTTTCTGGCTCTCTATCCCTCTCTCTTCCTCTCTGTAAAAATCTCAATAAAATATATTTTAAAAAAATTATTTATGAATGTGAAATTCTAAATCAAAACAGTCAAAGCAATCTGCTATGCCATTTTTGTTTTAACAGTTTAATGTAAGATATTCTTAAAGGAGATTTCCTATCTTTGATCCTATTTATCTCTTGTGAGCACCTGAATAATCGATGATCCAAGAGTGTCGCTATGTAACAGATGTATACACATCAGTGAATGGCAACAGTAGAAGAACAGTAACTGCGAATCTGGAGGCTGGATCCTAGAGTACCCTGTCATCCCCTACAAGGTGTCTCCTGGTACAGTGCAAAGCTTCTCTGAAACAGAGACTAACTAGCTTCCTCAGGCCTTAGCCAGCTCCAAATACTAAGAATTTTAGATAGCTTAGTGGACATTGAAACAACTCAGTTCCAGGGATGCAAATAAAGTATTTAGGTCAATGAGTATGCTTAAATGAGCAATTTTTCTCTCTCACTATCCCAGTTCAATAGAAAGCACCTGATAATATGCAAGCGAACTGGGTTAACATATTTTTCTACTCTATCACTCAGGAGAAAAAAAAATAGATGTAGGCACTACACATGGGGTTATGTCACTCAGTGAACACAAGTTTCCTTTCTCTGGCTTTTAGAATTATAGACCTCGTTTTACATCAGCCAGTCACAGCACTTCCCATTGAGAGCTGGGATTGAACTTCAGAGTAGGTAACCACGGGTACCACACACTGCTTGTAAATAGCAAGGATCTAGATAAAACATATGTCTCACCACCTTCCATATGATAGACAACCAATATAATGGGTTGCTCTGTGGGTATTTTCTCTGAGAGAAAAAACAAAATGCTCTAAACTATAAAAATCCACTTTATTCACAAAGTTTTTAAATGCTTTTTACATCTAAACTGCATAAGAAAATTCTGAGAATACTATTTTTTAAAAGATTTCTTAAAAATTGATTTTTAGAAAGAAAAGAAAGGAGAGGGAGGGAGGGAGAGAGAGAGAGAGAGAGAGAGAGAGAGAGAGAGAGAGAGCGTGAGAGAGATTGGCTGCCTTCTGCCCTCCCCCTACTGATAATTGGGCCCTCAACCTGGGCATGTGCCATGATTGGGAATTGAACTGACAAACTTTCAGGGCATGGGCCAATGTCCAACCAATTGAGCCACACCGGCCAGGGCTCTAGAATATTATTTTTAAAAGACAACTAGCAAAAGCACTTGAATTTTTAGGTTGCAAAAAGAAAATACTGTTCAAACAATTAAATATCAATTAGTTTTCTAATAGAACAACTCACTTAAAGTTTTGGCCACACCTTGTTTTGAGTCCTGATGCTCTTCTTAATGTAAGTTTTTCCCCCCCTTTACTTCTCTATATTTTATTAATTTTCTAGCACACTCACACTACTTTCATAAACAATAAAATGAAGAAATTTTAAAAACTGAGGAAAATTAGGCTAGTAAGAATTTATTTTTAAAATTATTACCAATTTCTATTTAGTCATAAGTCTCTGAAAACCTTTTAAATTAACTTATATAAATTATGAACTCATAAAAACTGAATTTTGATGAAGCTTCATAAATTTGAGGCCATGCCATTTGTACTTTAGATTTCTGCTGCATAAGAGTTAGTGTAAAAATCTAGCTAGGCAAAAATCTATCGCTAACTATTGATATATACGTTTAGTTACTGAGACCTCATTTTTTAAGATGATAAAAAAATCATTAATCATTAGCTTCTTAACTATCATAGTAGGTGGCAGAGCTAGTATATAAACCCTTTTCATTTGTCTCTAGGATCAAATCAATCATCACACAATCTAAGCTCATTTAATATCAACCACTATGAGTAAAAGGACTCTATAAGTTGTCAAACATCAAAATAACTTAGGACATTCTAGATTACCTAAGTACTCTAAAATAACTACTATAAATTACAAACCCTGAAGAGATTTTCAGAATTACTAATCGCTTTCAATGTTTTTTAGCATGTGCATCCAGAATATCAGGCATATATGGGTAAGGACAGCTGCAAATATCTGTGTTTTAGGAGAAAGTTTTTGAAGCTGGAAATTAGAAGGCCTGAACTTTAGCTTTGATTCCATCACTTAATCTAATCAATAGCTTAACCTCAGGAAGATTACTTAAATCTTCTAGGTATGATACTTTCTCTGATCTTCTGCACAGAACTGAAAATAAGTGGGAATACAGGAAAGAAAGAACTAATCAATAAAAACAACATGCCAAAACCAGTACAGGAATCCCTCAGAGCTATTTTGGGTTTGGTTCTAGACCACCGCAGGAGAGTATCTCCACAGGTCAGTTGTAATCTTGTTGGTGGAGGGTCTTGCCTTCAATATGTAAAACCACACATATGGAGTCCTTCAATATATAAAAAAAAACCCCATCTATAAAATACAATAGAGTGAAGGGCAAGAAAATGAAGTATGCCTGCACTGTCACAATTGGTTGAGTGGGGATGGTTTACAAGGGTCTCCACTGCACTCACACGAGTGGCAGGCAACTGATGTTCACATCCCGTCCCTCTTTTTCTGCTTTAGTAGTTACACAGTGCGGAATATTATTGACTTTCTCCTTTCCTCCAGTTAACATGACTTTAATCATTCATTTCTTCTATCATGCCAACTAATTCCCAAGGTGAAGAACTCACAATTCTTTATACAATGAGTTGTATTCCTGAAGCAAATCATGTTTGATTTTGTATAGAATTATTTCCGAAGTCATAAGAGTACAGAATGATGCCTCACTAAAAGCATTTTATCAGTTTACTGATTAATGCTGGAGTTAAGTTTCTGTGTAACCTACTGTTATTTTACTTCTTCAAATCAAATTCAAATTATTGGCTTCGTACGAGCCAAGTTATAGATACTTTAAGTTAGATTATCATATTTATAAATACATCAGACAAGCATACTAGATTCAGAATGATATGTTGCAAAGTCAAGATCTCTATGTTTCATAAATATAAACTAGTTCACGGGCACTTTAGTTTACAAAGGGAATTTTACATAGGAGGTAAATTAGCTTAGCTTTTCTGTATGAAAATTTAGGTCTCACTCAATGGCTACTGTAGAGGCAGCCCACACGCCTCCCTTCCTCTTAAGAGCTGCAGCTCGCAGCCCAGATAGCAGAGTGTTCCTACATAAAATATCACCTCAGGGACTGAGCATCAGCATCCCAGCACCAAGGACTAGCATCAGCACCCTCAATATCAGGAACTGAGCACCAGCACTCCAACATCAGGAGCACCTCCATTTGGCAGTGAAGATATGTGAAAGCCAGGGCAAGGTGGCCACGCTGTCAGCATAAATGATCTGAAAAGATCTTCCACTTTAAAGAGAATTTTTTAACTCAAAAAGGCAGATATATAGAAACTGTGTCTAAAGTGGAATAGGCATATTTATTCTCTTAGGCTGGGAAAATTCTAATAGCTCTAGGGAATGAAGAGAACCTTTCAAGTTAGGTCCTTCCTGAGGAGTGATAAAGCTGGGCGCCCCTTCCTGGTGGAGTGATTTTTTACCCCTGGCTGCTGATTTAAGCCATCTGCTCTGGCAGTGGCCAAATAAACCTTCCAGGTCATGGCTTATTTGTTCTGTTTTCCAGATCTATTTAAATTAAGCATTTAAAAATGGCATTATTAATTTTAAAAGCATATTGGTTATACATTTACTAGATAAAATTAGCTTAAACTCTCTATATTATACTTATATGTGTATGTATATTATATATAGATATTCCACTTTAGTGTATTAAAACAGAAGTACATAAAAAAAAGAAACAGCACATTCTACTATTCCTTAGTCACAAATCAAATCTCACTTTCAGAAAATCAAACTGATTCATTATAAACAGAGGATTTAGAGATAGTTCTATTAACATGAATAAAGTTGTTTTTTTTTTAAAGGGCCACAAGATGAGCATTCAATTAACACACACACACACACACACACACACACACACACACTCTCTTTCTTTCTCTCTCTCTCTCTTTAGGCTATTGAAATATAGTCTTTAATTCTCTATTTAAAAACAAACACAACTAACACTGATTACAAGCTTTAAAACCATTTGAAGATGTGAAAGACTGTCTGCATTTCAGCCTACTTCAAAGCCAGAAAATAAATCATTTCTTCTTCTTCCAACTCAAAGTATGTTTAGGAGCAGGAGGACATCTGATAGAAGTGGTATTGCCGATCCAACCAATTTTAAAATATAAAATGCTTCTACCAATATTTGGATACATATAATTTGACAAAAATGTTTTATAAACCTAAGCTTTGAAAAATAGAAAATATAAGCTCCAATGAAAAAAGCATAATTTGTGATTGAAAGAAAATAATATTTTGTAGAAAAAAAATTGTCCTTCCAAAAAGAGACAAAAATGACTAACTTTTATTTCCCAAGAGAATTATGGCACTTTTATACAACAAAATTACAGTCACCACAAATTGCTTTCAACAATTCCATTGCTTCTTCATTTGACCACTTGAAAATCAAAATTCTTTCAGATTATAAATATAACTTTTTATAACTCTGTTATTACGTACTGTGAATGGGGAAAGGGGGCCAATCTTGTGGCCGTAGCGCCGAATGGCCTCTCTGATGTGGCAGGGCTGGATGGCATCGCTGTGAGCCTCAACACCACAGGCCGCGGTGCTCTGCGACAGAAAAACACATAAATTGTTACTAAATCAAAAACACAACAGAACTACAGTGTATAAAATATGAAAATAAATTTTTATAAAAATGGACATTTTTCCCCCTTAGGATGCACATCACTGCTGCCATACACTACATCTAAAAAAATTCCACGAACAAAGATGACTTGCGCATGACCCCTTCCGAGCAGACCTACCAAATACAATTGCTATGCTCACAATATTTCGCCTAGGCCTGCGTCAAGGTACAGGAGAATGCAGCCATTTGCACGCACGTGGAGTCTCAGCGGTTTGCTGAAAGAACCACAAGGAGCTATTTTTTTTTTTTTTAAACATTCAAACATATAAATGTTTCTTTGGAACTTGTGCATATTTTGGAATTAAAGTTCATCAATTTTAAAATGAAAAAAATTGCTATATATTTATTTATAATATGAAGACTGTCATAAAAGATAATTTCAACTTGGTGCTAATATCTAGGTGTTTCTCAGGGCAAAAGCAAAATAAAATAAAATTTCTCTATTTTAGTCTGTCTCATCTGTAAAAAATAGTACAAAAAGACACAAGAAAGAGAAAGACTATTTGCAATGAGAGTATGGATACCAACTCAAGAAATGTATATAATACGATTGAAAAATTTTAAATGCGCAAAAGGGACATGGTTCAGTCACAGGCTCCAGCTTCCCAACCACTTGGGTCTGTATCCTGTCAGTTACCACCTCTGTCAAGTTATGTAATATCTCTGCACTTCAGTTTCTGTAATTGCTTTATAGGACATTGGATACCAGATGTGAGATCATCAACATTAAAGAATCAAGAGAAGGAAGCAGTAGCTTGTATATTACTATAAATATGGTCTAGAAATCATTTGTAGTCACATAATGAAGAGTATTTTTCCCCCCTGATAATTACTACAATTACCACTCTCATAATTCCTTATAAGGATATAACTAATACCACCTCCATGTACAGTAATTTGGCAAAATCTTATCAGCCCGGCCAGGGTATCTCACTGGTTCAGCATCAAACCATGAACCAGAAGGTGATAGTTCGATTCTTGGTTAGGGTACATGCTCAAGTTGCAGGTTGGATCTCCAGTAGGGGGAATGCAGGAGGCAGCAGATTGATGATTCTCTCCCATCATTGATGTTTCTATCTCTCTCTCCCTCTCTCTTTAAAATCAATAAAAATATATTTTAAAAAAAAATCTTACCAAAATGACAGGCACAACTATTTTTTTCCATTTTATTTCCTTATTGATTAAGGTATTGCAAATGTGTCCTTATTCCCCCCATTGTCCCTCATGCCCCCTCACCCAGACCTGCCCTCATCCTCACCCCCTGTTGTCTGTGTCTATCACTATGCTTATATGCATGCATACAAGTCCTTTGGTTGATTTCCCCCCCTCACCCCTCCCCTCCCCTCCCCTACCTTCCCTCTGAGGTTTGAGCATCTGACCAATGCTTCTTTGTCTCTAGATCTGTTTTTGTTCATCAGTTTATTTTGTTCATTATAACCCACAAGTGAGTGAGATCATGTGATAGCACTATTTTTGATCTAGTAATCTCACATATAAGAATTTATCCTACAGATATACCAGAGCAGTATAAAATAATATACATATAAGGATCTTCACTGGATTGATGAACTAAATCTTCATTAATGAGGAAACACTGAAGTAAATTATATGTATTCAATGAATCAGAAACCACCAAAAAGAATGAGGCAGTTGGATTCTTACTCCTACTGAGTTCCAAACATATCCAATCTCTAAGATTTACTGTGTGAAACAATGCAAGATATACAACTAGGTGGTACCATGTTAAAAAAACTTGTTAAAAAAAAAAAGGTGGGGGGAGCTAAACATGATATAGTCATAAAAGCATAGAGCATTACTTCAAGGGTACACCAAAACTCAGTAACAGTGCTTAACTCTTGGAGGGTTAATGTGTGGTTGGAGGACAGGGGTTAGAGGAGAAAAGTTTCACTGTTTATCCTTTACAAACTAGTAAAATAATTTAAAAATTCCTACAAAACTAGAGCATTTGCTAATTATCCAAGCTGAACCTAAAATAAGACTTAAAATTTCAAGCAAAATACATCTTGTTATTTTTGCTATTTTCACAAAATTTGAAATAGCCAAATAGAAATTTACTCTAAGGTACCTTTCTCAATTTCATTCCAACAATATTCTAAATAACATATCTGCTATGCCCACAATAACATGGATTAAGTTATATAACAACACAGATTAAACCCTCACTTTGGCACTGATATAAAAGTGCACAGGGTTTTTATTGAGTGCTTTCTCGATTCTTATTCCAAATACTTTGTTTCAGTTGGACTCTATTAGAATAATGCAATTATCAGGTGCCTGATTAAGGCAAAGACACTTCTGAGAGTTCATTTGGTTCCAAAATGTGAATAAAACTAATATTCAGAAGTGGGAAAAAGTAGATTTGCAGTTGTAATTTAAATATACAACACAATAATCCTATATAATAAAAGCCTAATATGCAAATTGACCAAATGGCAGAACGACCAGTTGCTATGATGACCACCAGGGGGCAGACACTCAATGCAGGAGCTGCCCCTAGCCTGCAGGCTCCAGGCCAGCCAAGGTGGGTGTCCCACCAAAGGAGGCAACTGGCAGCAAGTGGCAGTGCTGGCAAGTAGGCAGAGCCAGGCCGGCCAAGGTGGGTGCCAGCGGGGCCTCCCTGGATTGCCCTGCCCATCACCTCACAGATTGGCCCTGATCGCTGGTCAGGCCTAGGGATCCTACCCATGCACAAATTTCATGTATCAGGCCTCTAGTTAATAAATAATAATAATACAAGAATAAACTCTTTGAGTACTCACAACTGTTTTGCCTACCCCTATAGACTCATTAACCTGATAGATCTAACAAAAAGATGAAGTTAATTTTTATAAAAATAAAAATATTGAATTGTGTGAAAAACATCTTTGGATGTTCCATTTTGCCAATTTCAGATTTACCTACTATATATAAGCAACTGCAAACATTAGCATAAAGTTACCATGTAAACTTCTACATTATACTGATTTGTCCACTGGACTCTTTGGAAGGGAACCTTTAAATCTCAAATGTTTATTCCCAGTATTGTTTTCACTTCAACAAATATATTTACATTTCTGTCAACATGCAGTCTCTCACCAAGGTACTTATAACCTGTTCAAATTCCAAATTCATACCAAGTTTAGAATTTTTAATTTATAAGTGACTCTAGCATTTTTGCAATGTTCTTCAAAATGTTTTCAGAAGAACTAGCATTACATTTATATATATTATCTAATATTTTAAAAATCTTATATATGCTGAAAATACATATAGAGTATTAAATTTTTGCATCAATTCATGTTTCCTATTCAGGTTGTGCTCGTACTTTAGGATACTCTTTACATTTTCAAAACTGAACCCATATATTTGACAAAATACTGGTTGCCAAAATCTCTGTGGGGACTGAACTCTTTATTTCCTTGCATAAAGTACAAACTACTGGTAAAGTTCTTCATAAGTCAGGTCCTCTTCCTCTTGGGTGCATTCCTAGTCCATTCTTGTATTCCTCCATTGCATTTCTATTTATGTCCCTTTATCCAGAAGTTGATGCTGCATAATGGAGGCTGGAGTCCTATATATTTCCTGGATTTCAGTATTGTCCTTTCTGACTTGCACTGAATAAAATCTCTTGCACTTTGAATGCTCACTTGTGGTACAAGAAATTGTATTGAAATTTCTGTTGCCCCTGGATCTCTTACAAATGTCCTGACTCTTTTCTTTCCAACTTAAAAGTTGTTGGCAAGGAAAAATATCCTATTCTTGTTCAGTCTGCCCCTTGTCGGGGTAATCAATGTTTAAGAAAGACATGGAATCTCAGATAATTGCCTCTTATTCTTTCCCCACCCAAACAGTAGCTAGATCTTTTGTTACACTTGAAATATTAAGTCTTCTGAAGGAGTAACACGTATCTCAGATGAGAGCAAATGAAAGGTTAGTACTACTATTACTAATACTTCTGTCACTCACTGACCATAAAGGTTGATATATAATCTGACTGGCCAGGCGAATGTCTTTCTCCTCAGATTTCTGTGCTTCGAGAGGATTTCTTTTTAAAGGAAAGTGGGCCATTCCTTGCTCAAAGGTTACAATATATAATGTAGTTAATTTATTCAATTCAACATTGGGTGGTGGGCACACGGTGAAATATACTGATCTTATAACATAAAAATTCACACCTGAAACCTATATGATCATGTTGACCAATGTCACCCCAAAAAGTTAATAATAAAATAAGTTTAAATTGATATGTTAATTTTTAAAAGTGCAGTTCTATATAACTAGGAAAAACGTTTCTTTAATGAAAAAAATTAAAAGTAGAAATGGTATTTAAGGGGTATAGAAGAGAGAATCACTGAATTCAAGGATTTATACATTATTAAATCTGGAAGGAACACAAAAATATCATCTAATCTAAACTTTCCCAACTCCTATTCCCTTTTATAGATGAATGAAGATAGGGGATGTGCTCAAGATTATAATGATAAAATCAAAATACGGCTATACATAAAATCTCTTGGCTTCTAGTACACAAAGCTGATATATCATAGAGGCTTTATTATTTTATGTAGAATAAATTTTACTATGGTACTACCATAGCTAAAGTTTCCAGTGAGTAAAAATATTGCAAAACTGTATACCTGCAGAAAGATGTGAATGACTAAATAGAGAAATAAAGAATAACTTTGAAGTGAGACATTATTCATTTTGAAGCCAATAATTTTGAATTTAGGAAAATTTAGATATGCACTTGGCTAATACTTCATTTAGGAAATCTTTTACTGTAAAAAATCTTTTACAGTAAAATATTTAATCCAATTTAATAACTTGCAACAAGATTTTGAGTGAAATGTTTAAATATTTAAGAGAAAAATTTTTTCAAAAATATTCACACTGTATGATACTGAATCTAAGAAACCCTGCT